CTGGGAATTAGGCTGTGGTTTGAGCTCCTGTCAGCAGCAGCACTGCTCCCAGTGTGAGCACTGGTGTGGACAGGGTGGGGGTGTGCAGTGCCACGGTCACTCTGCACCCTGGTGTTAATTACCCAGCTGTTAATTACCCAGCTCTCCTGATACCCTGCCCTGGGGAGGAGCACAGACACTTGGAAGGAAACCCCATGGAGTGCTCCCTGTGGGAGCCTGCTGAGCCTTCCACACATCCATGAATTCTGCCTAGTTCAGGAGGGTTCTGTGGATGCAGCAGGATGCTGGCTGCCGTTTCCTGCTGGGACACTGGACACAACTGCTCTTTACACCTTGAATTCTGTCAGGGCACCTAAGATCCTACATGGGTATGTGAATTTGGATGCTCTGAAGCATCAATAAGCAGAGCTGTTCAGAAATCTCTCCTCACTCATGCACATCAGGAACGTTTTCCTCTTCAGCATGTGTTCCTCAGTTCCCTAGCAGTACAAGCAAATTGGAAAGTTCAGCTGTCATTTGGGGAAGGTCATAGATCACACTAGCAGCCTGAGTAATCCAAGAGGTTTTAAGTATCACAGCATTTAGTTTAAAGTGAAATTTGCTCTGACAGGGGCTGGCAGACCAATAGGAAAAAGAAATATTTGTGCTTGGAGAAGTGCATGTGTAGAGACCTCGAGTATAACTGATGGCTGGAAGTGATTTCAGTCTAAAAAAAACAAATCATTAAGAGAGTGCATAGGGGTAAAATACACAGTTCATATTTTAAAGGATCTCAAAATGAACCAGCAACTGAGGTTAGCAGTACACAGTAATTAGCTGGGCTGTTCACTGTTTAACTCTGTGAGCCCCAGGCGTGGGGCTGAGCTCTGCACAAGAGCAGGGCTGTGCTGAGAGCCAGGGCTGCCTGCAGTGTCTGCAGCCTGAGCCTGCTCTGCTGCTCTGGCATCCAAATCACCCCACAGCTGCAGGGCTGCATGCACTTCTGCCTGCCCAGATACATAGCAGTGAGCACTGGGAGGATAAATACCAACTCAGGCATGAATATTGTTGCCCCAATGGACAATTATGTGTCCCTTTCTTGGTGATTTTCCTCTTCTGCATAAACTCCCAGCAAGAATAATCATCCCTGTGAGGACTGAGTCAAGGTATCATTATTATGAGAGACAGGCTTGGTTCTTGCACTGAATTTCCTGGTAGATGCTGTAGCATAAACCAACAATGTTTTTCCTAGGAGCAAGTCTTGAGGTTGATTGCTGATATAAATCTGAGCACACATGGCACAGATCATGATCTCAGGCCAGCAAGTGTTTACAGCCACGGAGCTGCCATCTCTGCTGGCTCTCCCCTTCTGCTGTTGTTGGCAGAAGGGGCAGGGATTCATCAGGACTTGTTTTTAAATCCATCCTCACCTCGGTGGGTCGTGCCCTTGGCCTGGCAGCCTCGGGAGTGAGCCAGGCTCTCTCTCCAGGCCCGTGTTGGCTCTGTGCTTGTCCCACCCTGTGTCACCTCCTGGGCTCAGGACCCTTCCCTTCAGCTCCCACAGCTCCCTGCTGCGGGCTGCCAGTGCAAACAATCCAGCAGGCAAAGCTGCTGTGCTTCAGGAGCACTAATGTGCAAAATGAAGCCAGTGCTTTTCAAGCATGGTCAAGACTTCATTTACTTCAAGGAAATATTTCGATAGGAGGGAGTAGTGATTTGATCAAGGTGTTTTAATGTGATTTTTCTGTGGTTGTTTTTGGGTTTTTTTTGAGGGTTTTTTTTTGACTGTCCAAAGCAGTTATCAGCTGATCCATCTCTTCCAGTTTTCTTCAGGACACTAACATATGTCTGAACCATTTGGAAATAACTGATACTCCTCAAAGTTTAAACTCTAGGGATCTTTACCTAATTACTTACACATTTATAAAAAAAAAATTAAAAACCTGATTTGTTGAGAATGTGATTGAAACCATATTTTCCCTGCTCTCGTTATCAGGTTAAATACATTTAGAAGCTCTTTGAGTGGGGATTACCGAGCTGGAAGTGGCCTGCAGGGATGGAGGCCCATTGCCACCGCGTGGCTCAGGGCGTTATTGCACCTCACCCCAAAGCCCGTGGTGGTTCAGCTTGGGGTTCAAAGGAGCTCGGGACAGGTTCCAGGCTCCTGTTTTTGATGTGTCCCTTTGCCACAGGAAACCTGAGGGTGGCACTGCTGTGAGCCTGGGTATGGCTGCTGCGAGCCCTGGGCAGCCACAGCCTCCTCACTCACCTGAACATCATTCCACAATGAGCTTTGCAGGAATGCAAATAGGCCCTATTCTACCACACTTGTAATAAAACTTACCCACAACTAACCTTGTTACACTCACAGAAAACATCATGGAAAGACAAACCCAGAAAAGCATTTTCTGTTTAAATCGCTCTTCGTTACAAATCAGCTGTAGATGTTTTAAGGATCAAACAATGAAATTCCTAAGTTTAAAGGTAGCCTTAAAGGGTCCTGCTTCTCTGCAGTGTAACATCTCTGGTGTCACTGGGAATTTGTAGGAGCACAGCAGAACCAGAGCCTGCAGTCCCAATTCCCACTATGCCTCCTTTTAGGACATTGTTAACTCGTGGCACTGACAGTAACCCTGAAGGATTGGCATTGGTTTATAGAAGTTTGTTAAATGGTTTGTTTTCTGAAGTGCCAAACAAACTGGTCAGCTTCATGCTTGTCCTGGTTGGGTTGTTCACAAGAGTTTTGGGCCTGATATGGAGACTCTGCAGCCCAGGGCATCCTGGGTGAGGTCTGTCTGTCTGTCTGTCAGTGCCTTTGCACACTGAAAGCAGTGACACAGGAGAGGCAGGGGCTGGCTGAGGTGACTGCTGGGTTTGGGGTTTCTGGAGATGAGAGAGAAACACAAAGTAACAGGATTTCTCTTAATCCCTTCTTTCAGGAGTCTTTCAAAGCTTCAGGGCTGATAATGAGAAAGCTGTTGTTTGCCAGGTACAAAGGAGGCATCTGGGGAAGGTGCCTCAGAGGTCACCAGCTCATTTCCTAATGGGCTTGGAAAAGGGTAAGAGGGCTTTGGAGTGGGTACAGGCAGGAATGGGTGGTGAGAGGAATGCATTCACAGAGCTGTGCACCACTGCAGGATCCACCAGGGCCACTCTGCTGCTCTCTGCTGTGCTGAAGGGCTGCTCAGCCTGCAGGGTGGGGCTGAGGGCTCTGTGCAGGGGTGAGGAGATGGGTGCTGCCAGTTCAGATACACTGGAAATGAAAAGCACTTTCAGCTCACAGCATTTCTCAAGATACTTCAAGTAAAACAGTGATTTATTTTTTTTCTGTAGCTTGGCTGTTGATTGTGTCTCTTCTATCTCAGAGGACAAATCTCAGCCTCAGACCTTCCACCTTCACCTGATTATCAGGATATACCATGAGATACCAGGATATCTCTGGTTTTCTGAGAAACAGACACTAGGGATCCTTTTCTAGGGCCTCACTGAGACACAATCCAAGGAAAGTGCCTTTGTGAGGACAGAGATGGACGTGGTCCCCCCCATGCAGCTGAGCCCTTTCAGCCCAACCAATTGAGCTGTGCCAGCTTCTTGCAGAGCCAGGGCCTGGGGCCCACCCATTGTACATCTTCTGCAGGGGTCCTTCTTTCCCAGCCTTGCCTCTTGCATAACCCATGTTCCATATGGATAATTGGCAGTAATGAGGTTCAGCTTTTCCCCACTCCTAAAGCACTTTGCTTCTTTGTGTTTTGACAGTCTTCAGAGGGGAAGTTCGGCTCCTTTCAATGCATCTTTAGTCAGACAATAAATCAGGATCCTTTTCCATTTGTCCCCTACTGAAGGGGAAGCTAAGAAGTGACATAGCTATGAGTAGGCAGCAGTCCAGTGTCTTAGGCAATGCTCATTTTGACTCTACCTCCTGCATGAATTATTGTTGAGCATGAAATATGTGCCACTTTTCCCTATGCAGTTCTTGTGTTTTAGTATCTAACTCATTGTTGTGGGACTTTTTAGGTGTAAAAAATGCTGTTTTACATGAAAAAATAATTACTCTGTCTCATTAGTACATAGCTTTTCAGTATGTGTTTAATTCCTTCTGCCATTTTGCTGCCACTCTTGTATCCCACCAGAAGCACCATCTTTCACCACATATTCTTTCTTTTAGCTGGTGTTCTCCATGCACCTCAGAAATGGACTGAAGGCAGGGAAAGAGACTCCTCAGATGTGTGTGCAGGGCAGGGTTACAGCAGGTTTTGCCTGAGCCTGAAGGACATGGTAACTGTAATGTACACAGGGAGACACTGAGTCATGGAAGAAAGTGCTTGGCCAGTAAAGCTGTGAAAGGAGGGAAGAGAAGACTTTGGTCTCTCCTGGGATTCCTCTTGGACCTGAAAGCCTTTCCCTGATTAGAGTTGCACTGATGTCTCCACAGCATTTCATTTCCACCAGAGAAGTGGTGTCCAGAAGGGGAACGCAGCTGGCAAAGTTTCCTCACAAAACCATCATGCCTTAGGATTTTGGCTTGTGTATTTTTCATATATTTGCAATCCTGCAGTTCTTTAGTGTATAGCTCTATCTCCATATACAGTGCTAGCTACTGGCTTCACATTTTGGTCAGACACAATTCCTCTCCAGGCCTGGCAATCAAGGATGCCTCACTGCCTCAGGCCACAAGAAATGGAAACAAAAGTGAGTTGTGGGGAGCAAACTTGGGGTAAATGACTTCCTTAGCTGAAGCTGTAATTGGCAGATTGGTCCATTTCCGTATTGGGAATTAAACTTATAAAAGTGTGAAAATCTGTGATCCGTGGTCCATTTTTGGGTGTAGCCTCTGGGGGACTTTGTGTGCCTTAAATGCACCTGAAAGCCCTTCAATAAATAGAACTGCTGTTTATTTTGTGTGACCTCTATTTTAGGCAAGCCCAAATAGGCACCAGCAGCACCTGCAGCTAGCAGCACTGCTGTTCCTCCCACGGCACACAGAGCTGTGCAGTTTCTCTCTCTCTCTCTCATTTCTGCAGCCTTGCAGTGGATGGCTTTGCCCCGAGCACGGGGGGTCCCGGGCGCCCCGCGACCGCCTACGGCTACCGGCCAGAGGAGCCCTTCCTGTACGGCTACGGGGCACGGTGAGGGCCAGGCACTGCTGCTCCTGCATGGCTGCACCCCAGCCTCCAGCACCTGTATCCTTTGGCATGTGTAGCTCCACTTAGCCTTCCTGGCTCCGTGTGTTTGTGACCGTGGTTAGTCTTGGGTTGCTTTTGTTGTTGTTGTTATTTTTGTACAGTGACTGCGACTTGAAAGCGGGAATTGGAAACTGCCGGACTGGAAAGTGTCACATTGTGTATATTAAGCTACTAATTTAATTTCTATTAAATAGAAAAACCTGTGTGGTCAGCAGTGGTGAATGTGTTTCTAAGAGATGTTTTGTGGGTTTTACAAGGCACTTAAGAAGAGTGCTCCATGTGCAGCGTGTTTAACATGGACTGTTTCCCTCTCAGAACAGCACTGAGCCCCAGCATCTCCTGGCACTGCCCTGACACATAGCTTGGATCAAAGTCCAGTCCTGGTCACCACTTCAATAATGGAAAGATGGCACAGATTCACTCCCCTGGAGCTTCAGACATTTACAGTCCATTTAAAATGCTTGAAAACACTTAAAATTAGAAACTACCCAAGAGAATATCTTTACTTACCCTAGTGTTTAAACAGAGCTCTGTGGGCTGAGAGAATACAGCCACATCTATCCTGAGGGCCAGCAAGAGCAAGAAACATTGTACCTTGGTTCAGAACCCAGAGCAGAGCCTTTACCCCAGCTGTTCTATCTGGAAACACAAATCCATCCTGTCCTGCTGGTTTCTGGGCTTTAAGCTGGACCTAAGCAGAGTCAGGCCAGGACCCCTTCATGCTGCACTCCCAGTGTGGTGATTGTTTTGTGTCATGCTTTGAAACAACCTGCAAACAGAATTCAGGCTGAAGCTGTTCTTCAGCTGTGCATGCCCACTGTAACAGACAGAAAAAGGGATGATAATGCCCCCTCTGCCACAGCTACCAAGGCAGCAATTCAAATTTTCACTTTTTAAAAGAAAAGTTACCTCTACCTCATCCTTTTTCTTTTGTTAATGCCTGTTGATTTGCAGATTTGTTTGTCTCCTTCTTCCTCTCTCCTTTATGGGTTAAACAGAAAGTTGACTTTCATCAGGGGCTGAGCCTACAAAACCAGTCACTAGTAATTCCATAAAAATGAGGTCTGTGCTGGGAAGGTGATCTTCAAAGGCATGGGATTGTTTGGGGAATCTGACAAACTCTTAGTCTTATACTTCAAAAATACCTTTGAAATAAAAATTGTTTTGAAACCCTGTGTTATCTTTCCAAAGTGTGCAAGTACTTTTATAAGCACTGTTACTCCCTGTGTTCCAAGCTGCATGACTGGAAATGAGTCTAAAATTAGCCATGGTATTTCATAGCAGTTTTCAGCCTTCTCTCTGGGCTGGCCTCTTGTTCAGGGCTTCACGCACTGGAGGTAGATGGAAGAACAGCATTGCCAAAATTAGGCAGTATTTTTTAGATTGTTTTCTCCACTATTAACTAATTCTTACACAGTTTCTAAGAAACATGGCAGAAAACTTGAACTACACAAACAGATTTCCAGTGTTGTACCTTTCTAGATAATTTCCTTTGTTCTGAGTCCACACTGGACTTGCCCAGAAGTTGTGCCACGTTCAGTCAAAAGCTTTCAGATATTTTTATAGTTAGAGCTGTGAGAGAAATCCCCCAAATTGCACACTCAGGCTATTCTTTGAGCCTGGCACTCACTTGTCAGGCTTTTCCAGAAATTAGTGTGAAGTTATTTAAAGCAGTTGCCCTGCTCATGGAATGTGTTTTGGGGGAAAACCAAGATGAAGTGGGTCCTTGGAGTATATGCAAACTATCAATGAAACTGAAGGAGCCTTTAATTGGAAGCTTCAGGTTAACGAGGAGCTGCAGTGGAGCTCCAGTGAAGGCTGGGTGTCTGTAATTGTAATACAGTTGTGACCATGCTGAGCATAAATGGCAGTGGAAAAAAAAAAATCTCTGGCTGCAATTTTAGTATTCAATGTTAGGAGTTTATGGGAAATGAATAAAAGATCAAGTATTTGTAGCTTTGCCTGGCAGCAGCTAAGAAAAGAACATCATTTATCTGCAAACAGAGCTTGGTAAAAATTACTCAGCACTTAGTAGCCTGAGGACAGAGCCTGCTTGCCAAGATGAAAACCAGCTGTGCCACTGCACTTCCAAGGCAGGAGAGAGGCTGGTTTTCCCTTTAATTACAGTTCCTGAGCCAGAAAGGGGGGAAAAAAAAGATAGGAGCACATAGACTTTTCACATTTCCTATATCATGTTTCCTGTGGGTGTCAGAGGAAGATGGGAGAGTCTGAGCTGTTTAATTATCTGTATTTTATGGATTCAGTCCCTGGGTATTGTACACTGCACAAAACAGGGTGAGGAGGGATCTGCTTTCTTTTAACAATTTTTGCAACTTTTGTCCTCTTTTTCCTGTTTTCTCCTCCAGGCTTTGTAGATCTCTCTTCTTTCCCTACAGCAGCAATCCTGACCCATCCTAGGAGTATCCTCTTTCCCAGCCTGCTGCTAATTAATTAATGAGTTTGGTTAGGCAAGTGTTTTAGATATAATGAGGCTGTAAAGTTAATAGCACAATGAAATAAGCAATGGCTGAGAAGCTCCTGTGTCTGGTAGCTATTAGAGAGGCTTTGTGCACATGGACAGGCTCATTTCGAGGAGCAATCTGCTCCATGCAGCCACCTAAGATCTTGTGTTAAATTATTATTTGTGCTACACCAGTGCTTAGGAGCTTTCCAGGGCAACAGGGTGGGGGAAAGCAAAAGTAAACAAATATTCTCCTCCCTCAGAGCTTATGGAGGACCTGAGTCAAGGTCTTGCAAATACCAGGACGTTGTGGAGCTGTCTGCAGTTCAACATGTGCATTTCATTCTGAAATCAGACTGCCTGATTCTGTTTAATTGTATCCACTCTGGATTAAATGACACAGGAACAAGATGTATCTTCCTCTGGAATAAGCAGGACAAGCTCTGTTTAGATACAGGAGATTCTGGGCTCCTCTGGCAGGTTCTTTACTGGAATTCCTGTAGTGCAGCCCTCAGCTGTCCACTCACCATGGCCAGAGGCTGAGAGGAACAACAGCCTCCATTCCTTCTGTGGCCATCCTCAGAACCCATGGAATACCCTGAGCTGATTTCTGCTGCAATTTGTGTTGCCTTGAAGCTCTTGTGATCTGCTCATTTTTTCCTTCAGGTTAAGGTTGTGGAGTTTTTTTCTGAAAGAGCTCTGAGGTGCCAAGGGAGGTGTGGGAGCTGCACAGACAGAGGAGGGCTGCACTCCCCTGCATGGGTTTCATACTCACAAGGTGGTGTTGGCAGCCCCTTGGTCTGGACACCCACTTGAATAAAAACATGGATTTTTCCAGAGCTGGAAAAAATATGCTGGGGTCCCTTCCCCCTAAAAAAAAAAAAAAAAAGAAATCCACTCCTGTTTATTAAGAAATTGAGAAATATCATTGGAAGCAAAAGGCTGCTGTGCTGTAGTTGTCATTCACATGGCCATGCAGGAGTGGGACATCAAGGAGAAGGCATCAGTGGGAGCCCCACTGCAGCCTTTGTTCCTGTGCCACTCCCAAAGAGCTGGGAACAGCTCTGCACTCCTGAGAGCTGCCCTGAGTGCTGGGCAGGCTGGAGCTGTGGCTGCCCCATCCCTGGGGTGCTCAAGGCCAGGCTGGACAGGCTTGGAGCAGCCTGGTGACCCTGCCCAGGGTTGCAATGAGATGAGCTTTCAGGTCCTTTCCAACCCAAACCATTCTGGGATTCTAAGGCAGTGCTCCCCAGCTGTGCCTTCAGGCCTCACAGGCTCCACTCCACTGAAGTGATTTTGGCCCCATCCCCCTCTGCAGTCACCAGCTGTCTCTCTGTCCATTATGCCAATCTTTTCTTGCACAGCTGATTTAAAGAAGCAGTTCCAATGCTGATGAGGCATTTGCTGGGAGCTCTGTAATCCTGCTGGTTCCATCTCTGCCCTTGAGGGGTTCACACCTCCCTGATCCTAATCCCTGGGTGGTTCTCTGGAGGAGCCCACGCTGGCTGTGTTTGGGAAAGGCAGAGGGTGAAGTTTGGGGCAGCAACCCAGCTGGGGTTTCTGTGCAGCACCTGGGGACAGGGCACACTCCTCAGTGCCACTTCAGCCTGTGTGGGACAGCAGGATCACTCAGGAGAAGCAGGTAAAGGAAAGAAATGCTGCTCCACAGAGACAGCCCAGCAAAGGAAACACACCAGAAATGATGCACAACAGCCAAAGTTTGCTTTTTCTTCCTGACAGCCACATGAATCACACCACAGCCTGAAGCTGGAGCCAAGGGCTGTGAGTAGAAATCAGTTGTTGCTTATTAAGAATTTTTTATCTTTACCTCCAGTTATTCGTGTCTTCTGACCTTCTGCCTTTGCCCTGCCACACACACATAGGACATACAAACCCACACCTGGCACCTTGAGTAAACTGGTGACTAATGTACACCTTAATGAACATTACACAGTTTCTTTTAGTTTGTACTTTGGGGCTAGGATCTTTTTAGGTGTCTGTCCCATTTGGGCCAAAGACTCTGGATCTTTCCTACCTTTGACAGATAGAGGTGGTGTACCTGAACTTCATTTAGTTTCTGTTCCTGTGTGCATTATATTACCCTGTAATGTGTGATGTACTACATACTGTGACCCATTTCACTTTCCTGCACCCTGCTCCTCCCATCATATGTCTTCTTTTTTTAAAAAAGCCCCAGATCATCAATCTACCAGCATATCCTGATGTGCCACCTTACAGCTCTTCCCCTGCAGTCACAGGAGAAATCCTCTCTCAGGTAAGGCTCAGTTGAGCAGGGTTGTGCTGTGGATCTGAGGGAATCCCTTTTGCTATCCAGAGCTGTAGCTGTGCATTGATGAGCCAATGTCCAGCAGAGCTGTGTGTCTGGGATCATCCGTGCTGTCCAAGCCCTGGAAGGCTTCCCTAGAAATGGAAGGGGGAAAGCATAAAGAACACACTCTACACAGTTCGTGCTGGATTTGGCAGCACAAAACTCAGCGCAGGTTAAACTCGTGGAGTTGAGTTACTGCAGAAAGCCAAGGCGTTTGCAGAGCTCAGACCACCTGTGTTAAACACTCTGCCCTGGCCATTAAACCCGCGTCTAGACGAGGCCACGGGGCTGGGCTGTGCTGCTGTTCAGAGCCACCGAGCAAACCACATCCTCACGTCCTGGCGCTGCAGGAAACTGGAATAACACCGGCGATATGAAAATTGCGTGTGAACAGCTCAGACCTCCCACCGCCCTGGAGCCC